ACAAACAGAACACCACGGGTCAGAACCAGGCCGGACCTCCACAAACAGAACACCACGGGTCAGAACCAGGCCGGACCTCCACAAACAGAACACCACGGGTCAGAACCAGGCCCGACCTCCACAAACAGAACACCACGGGTCAGAACCAGGACTCTCGGTGCAGTGTGACAGAGCGAGGCCCTGAACGATCTGCAGCCAGTCTGAAGCAAACAGCAGCTTCTTGGACCAACAAACGTGACGATGACATTTTAAACGCCTCTCTTCTCTTCCTTCTCTTCCTTCTCTTCCTTCTCTTCCTTCTCTTTCTTCCAGACTCTCCCTCACTTCTCACTCTCTTCATCTCTTTCCAGAAACTCAACTTCCCATGAGCCACTTGCTGAGGAGCCAAACACAAAGAGGGAAACATGAGCAGGAGTGCAGTGGGACGACAGCAGACTGAGAGAGACAGCAGAGCACAGGACACAATGGACCCTGGTGCCCCCCCGGACCCATCGGGCTCCTCTCCAACACAACCAGTCAGTGTTCCTTCAGGGTGACCTCTTCTGCTCTCATTCTGTCAGGAGATATTTCATGAAGCCCACATGGTTCAGCTGCTGCGTGCACGTCTCTTACCCCGGTAACTAGAGAGGGGAGTCCATGATCAGCACCCCCCCTCGCCTCACCAGCCAAGCCCTCATGCAGTGACGTCATCCACCTGCCCCGATCTCAAGGGCTAGTCGTCTCAGCGCGCACACAATCCACGCACACACAGGTGTGTTCCCGTCAAAGGCAAGTAGGAGGAAGCGTTTAGTCCAAAGGCTGAGACCCCGGTCCTGGAGGAGTCCTCAGAGACTGAGGAGGAACATGTAACCTCACACGCACTGAGCACACGCACACCCTGTCCCTGCTCTGCAGCCTGTCTCTGTATCAACCGAGCTCAGATCAGGCAACAGTTGTTGAATCGACGCCCCGCCTCCTCTCTCCCTCCCCCTTTGCAGGTGGTTGCCTGGCAACTGGCTTCTGTGGGCGGGGCCTGCGAGAGTTCTCACATTGCTGCACACTTCAGTCCAAGAGCATCCGCCTACTCGGACCATATTTGCATACCAAGCCCTGCCTGTCCCTGTCCTCTGTCCTGTCTGTCCCTGTTCTCTGTCCTGTCCC